TATCTGATAAAAGCAATACTTTTAGTTATGTCATGTTCAAAAAAGGTACTATATAATTAGAAGTGAGTTTCAACAGAAAGACAGAGAGATGAGCTGTAAGGGAGATAATTAGTACACTGTTATAATTAGAAAACACTTCTAAATCCCATGGTAACTGTGCTAGGAAAGGGACTCCCTCTGGTTAACAAATACTTCGCTAAGGGTGATTTTTCCTCTCTTTCTTTTTAAATAGAAAGTTTGAATCATTTTCTTCTTAAGGACACTTTTTTTTTTCAAATACGCTATAGTCAACCATAAACAGACTCACTTCTATATTAGTGTTTTTATTAAAAAAAACAACAACACATTCATCAGTTTTTTTTTTAAGGAAGGCAATAACTGAGAAGTTCCAGCAGAATAGTGTGCACACAAATACCATGAGTTCAAGTAACTGTATTTTGTTAAGGTGATCTTTCCAAAAGATTATTTCCTTACAACAATAAACTCCAATACACAGGAAATCTAGCTTTCTCATTAAAAAAAACATGATTCAAAATAAATGAAGATAGCTTAGTTTAAATATCTATGAATAATAGGTAGGGTAAAAATGTTCAGGAAGGTACTTTGTTGGGAAAGAAGACAAACAGTGAAGAGAACAAGGGAAGAACATAAAGTATCTACAAGATGAAAACTCAAAAATTAAATAAAAGCCTCAGATTTTTTCCTATATGAGAGTGGTAATCTAAATATTTAGGAAAAAATCTTGATTTTTAAAATTGAATGTTTTAAATTTTGTCTGGAAGTGTGGTGTGTTATTATGGTTGTGTTTCTATAAAAAAAAAACCTTCTTCAAGAATGGCAGAATGGTGTCCCACACAAATGGATCAGATTTGCTCCTCAGTTTTCACCTATCATGGCTAAGATATTCCAGAAAAGGACAGATTATTAACTTCATCTGAACAGGAATATATTAAAGAGAATACCATGAAATCCACACCTTAGCAATGGGACCAGATTTCAACCCTTTGCCAAAGCAAGATCCAAAGTATTTACTGAAATAATGTATTAACCAGAGTAGGATTACCTGGAACAAACAGTGACATACAGTGGCATTGCTGAAGTCCACCTGCCACCAGGAGAGGGGACAAACTGACTTCTGAAAGCAAACATAGTTCTCTAAGTTCTTCCCTACCCCCAAAAATGTCATTGAGACTCAGCAAAGCAGTTACAATCTTAAAAAGCCACTGGGCTATGGGTTTCAGAAACTCCTGAGTTTTAGAGTCCATAGGCTGGTAGTGGTAGGGAACAAAAACAGACAGCAGGGAAAGGGAGTGGAATTGGGAGGAATGTGGACAATATTGTTATCTTGTTTAATTGATTAGGCTGAAATAACTTTAAGAATAGTGGCTTCCAACTAATTTACAAAAAGTGTTGAAAATGTTGAGAATTTGTTCCTCATGGGAAGATCTGTTACATTACAGAACGGCCTTCCTAATGGAAGGCTAGGGGAGTTCTGACTTATTATTAATAAGCATGCATTTTAGAGTTTATGTTCTGTACAACTCACATCACTTTCTTGTCCTTGGACTCATTCTGAGTGGCCTGGTCTGGCCATGGGAGAATAAACTGAGGGGAAATCTTGGCTCCATAGCATTTTAAGATTGCCTCATTCAAATTCTTTTTTTTTTTTTGGTGGTGGTGAAGATGGATATTGTGAAAGGGAAGAAGAAAGAAGAAGAAGAAGAAGAAGAAGAAGAAGAAGAGAAGGAGGAAGAGGAGGAGGAAAAGAAGGAGGGAGACAGAGAAACAGAGAGAGAGAGAGAGAGAGAGAGAGAGAGAGAGAGAGAGAGAGAGAGAGAGAGAGAGAGAGAGAAATGCTGATTAATACCAGCAATGGGAATAGACATTTTTAGAAAGTGTTTTTAATCAGCTCCCCAGTATGGGGTTAACCAACTGTGTCAGCAGAACTAAATTACAGACTCAAAGAAAAGGAAAAAGCAAATAAAAAAGAGAGCAAGAGAGAGATTTTTTGAAACAAATTCAAACTATCCCCTCCTGGGGGTAAGAAGCTAAAAGCAATTGAGGAAGGTTCCTTGGCAGGAAGCCATGAATAAGTAAGCCCAGTGAATGTAATGGTAAAAATAACAAAATCTGTAACACTTATCTGTCTGAATCGGGTTGGGGGGGGAGTGCTGGCAAACTGTCATAAAAACGAAAAGGTGTGAAAGATGAAATAGCCAAATTTTCACAAAGGAAGCAAAACAATAGCAATCCAGTATATGAAACCAGCTAGTCAGCTTTAGACAGAAAATGTTCCACCCATATATAGGAATGTGGCTAATCAATAGGGCCCATCCCAAAGGTTATTGGTGTTTAGAGACAAGTCTATGAACATTAGCTAAAGCATTGGAATCACCAAAATACTGGGTGCTATAGTTGGATGCTTATTATAGCCATGGTAAATTTAGAATGTCCAATGGGATTCTAAATTGCAACTTAACTTTTCCAATCTTACAGTTTTTGACTTCTCAAATATGTGTGATAATATATATCTCTTTTATTGATTTCTCCCTTTCTTAAGGTTGTTATAGCTTTTTAAAAAATATATAAGATTTTGGTTTCTTTAGATATTTTAAAAAATAAAACACAAAAATCCATTGTGGAATACTGGTCTTCCTTGAGATATTTTTAAAGAATACTTAAAATACTTCTTAAAATACTTTCTCATCTTTATTGGGATGTAACAGCATTACTTGGCAGAAGAAAATAAAAATCTGTCCATATACTAAGTGTCTATGCCTTTTCAGGTCCAGTGTGTAACATTCCTGAAAAGAAGTCAAACTTTAAAATGTGTGCATTAGGGAAACAAACTGAAAACCGCCTCTTTGGATAGGAAACTTTCCTTAATATTTAAAGGTGAATGATTCATCATTTTAACAAAAATACATCAAAGGTAGGTCTAGCAGAAGCAGGATCATAGAATTTGTCATAGAGCTTAGAAGGAACCTTAGAGATCATTAGTTTTGAATGAAGAAACTGAGGCCCAAGGTTATATGATTGATATGTGACCCACATAGTATTCAAACCCAAGTTTTCTGACTACAAACACAGCACTGCTCTAGCACAATAGTATCAGGTGTGTGTGGGGGAAATCCTGTAAATGGGGCACCTTCTACTTTCTTTATCTATTTTGTATTTCCATTTATCTGTCAACCTATGTGAAGTTGTCATTTTCAAATTAAGAAAAGCATAGTCAGTTAAAAATTACAGCTGAAGAATTTGCCTGACCATTGAATGTTGGGAGGAAGAAACTGAAAGATGCAAACCAATAAGTAGCTTCATTTGTACTAATCTTCTTATAAGAGAATGGATACAAAAAACTGGGCTTCTCAATAGCTGAATATAAAAAAATGAAATTACTGTATATATATGAAATAAATATACATGTATATTTTAGGAGTCAATAATACATTTCTTTGAATAAATGCAAATGACTCACTATTACAAAGTCTAAGATAGTTACAATGGTGAAATTTTGAATTTACATTTGAAAAATTAAACTAGTTCCATGAAATTATATAAACATACATATATGTGTGTAGATGATAGATAGATAGACACATATATGGAAATAAGAAGTTTTGCTAAATGTAGTCCTGATTCAAGTGCAAAGGTAGAATGTGGGTGTTGTTTGTTTTGATGGCCACTTTGTGTTTTTATGTCCCCTAAGACACTTCTGTGGTTGCATGCCTTTGATGTTAAACACACAACTGTGCCATTAACATAGAATCCTATTATAGCATGGCTTCTCATCATATGAATACAGATAAACTGTGATTCAAATCATGAGCTCTGAAGTATTTCTACTATATGTAATAAAAGCCACACACAAAGATAATGAGCCTGTAATTTCGATATCAGTACTGTGGCCAGACAACCAGGATTAGTTCCCTGTGTGTCATTTACCATCTCATTTTTACTATATAATCATAAAATATTAAAGCTGGAAGGGATCTTAGAAAACACCTAATCCAATCACTTCATTTGTAGATAAGGAGACTGATATCTAAGGATTCTAAGTGACTTGTCCATATTTCCCAGCTAGTTCATAAAAGATAGAGGATTAAAATCCAGGACCAATGATCTTTTCATTATGCCATGTTACCTTATATCTTGAATGGTACTTCCACATACTGCCCAGATAACCTTGTTCCTCAATACTAATAGAACTATTTTAGAAACAAAAACAAAATAAAACCAAACTACAAAACATGATTGTCAAAAAGCATACCATTTACATTTACAGTCTCTTAGCGTAGGCAAGTTAAATTGTTCGTTATCATTTGGAATATGTCACTTACATTCAGAAAAGTGAATTGACAAAAAGTTATAAATGTTGGGGTAATGTTTTGGGAAGGTAACAAAACCTGGTAACAAAAGCAGGTTCCTTTCTAAAGTTACAGAAATACTGTACTTTGGAAATAGAAATTACTATGAGTCTTAGAGAAGGTTGTTCTGCATCTATATAAGTAGACAAGAGAAGCATGTATTGAGTAGTGACTCAGGCAGCAAATCTACAAAATGAAAAATGTAGACAGCAGCAGGGAACTAGCCTATAGGAAAGCATGAACTAAGAAGGATTTCTGAACTAACCCCCAGACCAAGAACAGAAACAGCTAGGGAATAAAGCTTTAGGATGAAAGCAAACAAAGACAAACCAGAACTGGAAAAGAAGTGACAGATAACAAATGTGTTTTAGAAGAACTACTTTAAGTTGGAAATGAAAATTGGGATGACCCAATGAGGGAGGCCACTCAAAGAATGATGACTTGTTGCTTTTTTTAAAAAAGTATCTTGTCCAAAAAAGAAATTAATTACAGAATATCTCTGTAAAATGTGTAGTAGACTGTCTCAATCACAGTGGGTGTTTGCAGGATCAGTAGAAAATGAAGGCTGCTATAAACTTGAAACCCAAACATCCCCAATGGGATGTCTGATTAGACTCTAAGATAATTTCTCACCTCCTTAAAAGGCCAGTTTCTGGGGATGAACAATGCTATCGATGACAGTTTAGAGGAAGTTTTTAAAATCCTATAGCAAATAAGATTCTGTCTTCTTATCCCCTTTCCTTATGTGATCTGAGTGGGTTTTCCTGCAGTTGCTTCCAGGAGATGGATGGAAACTGCTTGAACCCTGAGAGGAACAAAAGGAAAGATTTCTAGAAGGGAAGTCTCCACAGTTGTACAAAGCTTCTGGCTGCATTTCTTTTCTTTTCTTTTCTTTTCTTTTCTTCTCTTCTCTTCTCTTCTCTTCTCTTCTCTTCTCTTCTCTTCTCTTCTCTTCTCTTCTCTTCTCTTCTCCCCTCCCCTCCCCTCCCCTCCCCTCCCCTCCCTCCCCTCCCCTCCCTCCCCTCCCCTCCCCCCTCTCCCTCCCTTCCCTTCCCTTCCCTTCCCTTCCCTTCCCTTCCCTTCCCTTCCTTCCCTTCCCTTCCCTTCTCTTCTCTTCTCTTTTCTTTTTTTCCTGAGGTAGGCTAAGAGGACAACTCAGAGAAAGGAATCTTGCTGAGACCTCTCCTAACAAGTTACCCAGCCTCTCTGGGCAGGGTAAGGGGAGCAATTTGTCTTGCAGATCACCATTTCATCTCCCTCCAGTTGATTTTGCAAGGTCTCTCCACTCCCCCTCAATGAGAGGTCTAGAGAGGTTCTGACTTTATGCTTTCCTAGAAAAGAAAGAATACAAGCTTTTGGCTTCCTATGCAACCATGACTATTAGATTAAGAGTAAAGAAGGAAGAGGAGGAAGGGGGGGGAGGAGGAGGAGGAGATGAAGAAGAACAAGAACAAGAAAAAGAAAAAGAAGACAGACACAGAAAGTGTGGGTGTAGGTGTAGATGTCAGTGTGTGCGTGTGTGTGTGTGTGTGTGCGCGCTCACACACATGCACTTGTGCTCTTGAAAAAGAATGAAGAAATTAATGGAAGGGGTGAAAGGGAGAAAAAAAGACACAAGGTAGATAAAATTGCTGCATAATTATACTCTCTATACTGAAGTGGAAGAATGATTTCTCAAATAACAAAGGAAAGCTCTTTTTTCAAAAGGGTCTAATGTTTCTCTTTTGCCAGCTTAGAGTGAGTCACATAAAGTCACCTACCCTTTTCTTCCTTCCTTCCTTCCTTCCTTCTTTCCTTCCTTTTTTCATTCCTTCCTTCTTTTCTTTCTTTCTCTTCCTTCCTTCCTTCCTTCCTTCCTTCCTTTCTTTCTTTCTTTCTTTCTTTCTTTCTTTCTTTCTTTCTTTCTTTCTTTCTTTCTTTCTTTCTTTCTTTCTTCCTTTCTTCCTCTCACTCTTCCTTTTTTCCTTCCTTCCTTTCTTTGTGGAGAATTGTTTGCAAGTGAACAAGATCAATGGTGAAATAGTTCTGTGGATCCATTTAGTAAAGTCAATATGCAATCATGAAAACTCTATGATAATGCACCCACAGATTCATATAGCACCAAGTTGAAATAAAGAGGTGGTGGCTTGGTGGGGGTATTCGTATAACTCCCTTAGTAATTTCCTAGCTCCTTTTCTCACAAAGGAATGTGGCTTTTCTCCCTTTTCTTCCTTTCCTTCTTCAAATCATAAGCTTTTTCTGAGTTTCTGTCTCTGTGTTTATCTCTCATTTCTGTCTCTATTTCCCTCTGTCTGCCTGCTTCTCTCTCTCTCTCTCTCTCTCTCTCTCTCTCTCTCTCTCTCTCTGTCTCTCTCTCTCTGTCTCTCTGTCTCTCTCTCTCTCTCTCTGTCTCTCTCTCTCTGTCTCTCTCTCTGTCTCTCTGTCTCTGTCTTTCTGTCTGTCTCTGTCTCTCTCTGTCTCTCTGTCTCTCTCTGTCTCTCTGTCTCTTGTCTCTCCTCTCTCTCTCTCTCTCTCTCTCTCTCTCTCTCTCTCTCTCTCTCTCTCTCTCCAATTAACAGCTTCCAGAAACGTGTGAGACTTGTCCCTAAACCTGGGGACCAGAACCCAAAGTGACATTGCCTTTCACTTGCCAGGTCCAGGCTGCCTGACCTAAGCCAGATACTGGGGAGGTGGGAAAGAAGAAAGAGAATTGAATTGGGGCTGGGGTGAGGATCTGGGGATTGATCCTTCACTTTTCATCTCTGAGTTACATCCTTAAGCTATGCAGACAGGGGTGGCAGCTGGTACCTGGGAGATGGAATTGCATTAATCCTCACACATTTTTCACACGGGCTCTAATCCCATTAGCACACCTGAAATAATAACGTCGGCGACAAATACCCCCTGTTTCCAGCTGTGGGCGGCACGGCGCTAAAAGAGGAACGTTTTATGCAGTGCGGGGCAGTGGGATGAGGGGGAGGGAGAGAAAGGGAAGGATATCTCTGACCCGTCGTGTTCCTAAACCCTAAACATCCCTTCCTTCAGCTAAGGCCTTGGAGGAGGAGGAGGAGAGGAGAAGGAGGAGGAGGAGGAGGAGGAGAAGGAGGAGGAGGAGGAGGAAGAGGAGGAGGAGGAGATCTGGGAAGGAAAGAGAGGGTGGGGCCACAAGGGTCTTCCAGGCACCATCCCTATAGGGTCTCCATAGCCCTGTGGAGTAAGTAAAGCAGGAGAACCAGGAAGCTAGGTGTGACATTGCGGGGGGTGGGGTGGGGGAAGGTGTAGCCAGTGTCATAGGGGAAAGAAGAAAGGGGTTCAAGACCTTCCCTTGCCTTGACTGGGGGACTGGCTGTACATTCCCAGAGAATCATCCTCCAAACAGTGGGAGGAAGGAGCTCTTGGCGGGAGGGGTCGCGGGAGGGAGGAAAAGTAACCTGAGCTCATATCTGCAAAAGTTTGAGACCTTATTCTCTTCCCCCCACACACACACACTTCCCGCTCCCTACTTGCCTTAAACTTGATTGCCTCGCAGTGGCTCCTCCAGGCCTCACAAAGGACCTCAATCAGAGCCTGAGGGGAGAATTGATAAGAAAGGTGTTGGTCATGGTGTTGGGGAGAAGGAGGAGCACAGAAAGAACTTCTTCGCAGTGAGGGGGGTCTTTTGTTTGTCCTCCTTCCTCACTTCCCACATTCTTGCAGTACTGCTGGGTGTTACGCGTAGGATGGCAGCCCCCTTCCACGCCCTTCTGTGCGTACCAACCCCAACCCCCCACCCCCATACACACACCCCACACCTCCTTCCGAGCCGGAATTTGAAAGACTTAGAGCAGAGGCAGCTAGCCAACTCCCTAAGTCCGGCCTGCACTCGGGCAGAGACCGAGAGGAGCCTGTGGGCACCAGAAGACTTTCCACCTATATGCAAAGGGACACAGAAAAGGTCAAAACCAAGAACAACAGACCCGGAGGCAAGAATGTGGGAGGGAGAGGGGCAGAACCAGAGAAATCAGAGAGTTAGTCAGGCTCAGATTGCAAAGTGAGGGCAGTTTTCCTCCTCTCTCCTCCCAGAAAACAAATGGGCAAAAGGGGAATCCTTGCAAGGGGGACATTTTCATGTATCGGTTGGTACAGAAATTCAACCTCTTAATTAAGATCCATAGAGATGTCCATTGTACTAGATAGAAATAAAGTTATCCTTCACCAAATCAGGAGAAAAGGCATTCACTTGGTGCTGTACCATATAGAGAAGCAATCTGTCTCCAGTGTAGTATCGGGTTCTTTATTTCATCCATTAGTTATAATCCTTAAAACTGACATTGACCCAAGTCAGTCATGGAAGAACATTATTAGGTAATCATTATGAGATATTCTTGAAAAATATCACCGTCTAGTATTTTTTTTAATTAAAGGAGCATAGGTAAAAGCATTGTCTGCTATGCTTTGGGGGAAATTTACCTAGAAAGGAATATTTCCGAAAATAAGTGAAACACTATCTTAGTTTCAAGCAAATGCTTTTTGCTGTTCCTTTTTTCCTCTCTTCCATATTGTTTTAACAGTTATTTATTCCTCAAGTACAGAAACACTGGAACTTTTATTTTATTAGCAATTGAATGGGATCAACACCAGCAATTTAATTTACAAAGGGAATTTCTCTTCCCCTCCCCAAACTCCCTCTACCAAAGCCATTTGATAAAAGCTGCAGCTTACAGAGTCACCAGGGACATTGAAGTGTTAAATGACTTGCCCAGGGTCATACAAGATGTTTAAGAGATGAGACTTAAGTCAGGTCTTCCTGACTCTAAGGAAGATTTTCTGTCCACTTAGCCATGTGGCCTCTCAGCAATTTGATAACAACAAAAATGTACAGAAAGAGTTAGCATATTTGTTACTTTTTAATATTTTGCCTAAAAGTTTTCACAGAATAGTTCCTACATTTATCCAAGCTGGGATTGCTAAACCTAACTCATTTGGCTTTGCCTCTTGCTTTTGTTTTTACTAATGAATCAAAGTATACCAGACTTGTACTAAATAGTTTACTACTTCCATTATTAATTTTGAATAATACATCAGAGTCATTCTTCCTCTTGAGATAACTCTTAAGTTATCTCTTAATTTAATTATCAAATGTTTCCAGTCATCTGTAACTTTTCTGTTTGAGTTTTAGGTGCTCTCCTCTCCCCTCAATAAGAATTAAACTAATAACTTTTCCTCATCAGTATACTAAAAAATAAAACCTTGTTGAAGTCCTGTATAACAATTGAAACCATTCTGTATTTTCACTAAGTGATCTAGTTTGAGGAAGGTGTCAAGCTGATAACTCATCATAAAGTTATAAGAAGAGTTCATGCTTTATCAAAATATATATTGAAAGTAGATTTAATATACATCTACATTATTTTAAGGATAATATATATACTCTAAACTGTCTCATTTTGACTTTTACTAATTAAAAGTACCCTACCAGTTTTCATATACTGGTGTGTTAAAATTAAATTAGAAATTTGGACTTAAATACTACTAATAATTTTCAGATCGATCTGCAAAAATCTGTCACCTTTATGGTACCAATACTCCTTACATTAATGTAAATGCACATGTAAATATACAGATACGTGTGTGTACATGCATATATGTATGTATGTATGTATGTATACATGCACATGTATGTGTATATGGGCACTACATTCTTTTGGCTTTGTTAAATATAGAACTTCTGTGATTAATATGTTAAAGCTATATCTCACATCCTCACTTCTTGAGAACTTTATACAAGGCTGCATATTGCTAGAGATGTATAAATGTTAAACAATCATAACTTAGGTCTATAAAATATTTTTTGTTTAGTTTAAAGAGACCTCAAATAGCTGATGTTACATAAAGGTATATATGAGGTTTGCCTACATATTTTCACACTGGTTTCCAAAGCAGAGATGTTCATTTTTTCCATCTATTATAAATAAAGTGGGTGTTCATTGAATTTTGCTAGCTTTTTTATCCTCTCTCCCAAAAGTTTTTTTCTCAATTAATATAAGACAGAATTGGTTATACTCCCATATTATTCTATAGATTCCATACTACCCAGGCAGTCAAAAAATTTAACTTGTGTGTCAATCCAGTTCTACTCCCAACAAGTAGATAATTTTTTTTAGAATATTGTTTTCGGCAATAATTTTTTTTTAATTCTGTTCATCTAAATTCCTAATCTGGCCTTCTATATATATTTTTTATCAAGCAGTCTTTGTGAACACAAGCCAAGTTCAGGTAACGCTTGGTTTTTACTTGCTTATGTCTTATCCCTTGGATTTTAAAAAAAATATTTCAACCTACTGAACAGCCTAATGAGTCTAACTTACTACTTGAGGGTACTTTTCTTTTTCCTACTTAACACCAAACTCAAAACGCCAAAGTATAACCTAGAAAGGAAAAAGTGATTCAGGAGTCGTGGCTGTAGTTTTTTCATTGCCCAGTAGACGGCACAAAAGATCTAGCCTTCGAATGCAAAACAATCGACCAGGGCTGTTGGGTTGGTTTGGTTTGTACGAGTACGTAGTTTACTTTAAAAGACAAGCACTGTATTTGTTTAGCAGCGAAACATCTTAGTGCTAATGACGACTCTCCGATCTTTTAAAATAGGGTGGCGTAAAAAGGAATTTTTTCCCTTTTTTTTTGCAAAACAGAACGACGAAATGCGGCTGGTGCTGAACACACTGCCTATTAAAGATAAGAAAATGCAGACCGGGAGGGAGATGGTGTAGAAGATACATTATTTAAAAGTTACGTTAACATTAATTGAGACGAGTTACGGAGTTAATTAATTTTCATTTGTCTGACGGGAGACAAAGTAAGCTTTGGAAAGTGAGCCTGGGTAGGTAGGTTGGGGTTTTACATTGTTCTTGTATCCCTTTCTTCTGTTTAGTATATAACTTCATCCAGAAAATGAAATGTTGTTTTCGGAAGAGATTTTGGTACCTAGTCACCTACACATATAAACATATACACTTGAATAGATAGGTGTGTATGTGTAATATGCTCACACTTTTCCCTCTTATTTAGATAGAAAGTTTATTGGGGGAAGGAGAGCCATGATAAAGTTTTATAAATAAAGAAAACCACTTTTTCTTACCTAAGTTTGGCTTTTTTAAAAGATGAAACGCTGGGTTGCTTTGGATCATTTTGTATTTTACTAAAAGCCCTCCATAACCCCTTCACTCCCCATTCACTCCTTATATAGAAGTTTAGGTGACAAAAGTGTGGGCTAGTAACTCATTTCCCAGTTAATTTTATTAAGAATTTATAGCAGTGTTTAGAAAGTTTTAAGACAACCGTAAATTTTATTAGGCATATTTTATTAAGCCCTCCATTTAATTAATAAAAGGCCTCTATAACTTCTGAAAATGTCAGAGCTGGTAATTATGTTAAACACTATAGGGCTCCCCCACCCCCTAGAGACTAAGACATTCTAAAGATTTGAAATAGAAAAAGTAGTCATAAAAGCATTTTTTTAAATAAAGCACTTCTAATTTTCACATTATCCATTCAAAGTACAGTGACTTGGCTATTTGCCTGTGACTCTTGGGTAGCCTAAACTGACCTCTAGTTGACTTCTGAACTGCACCCAGACCTTCTTTGTTTTCTGAAGCAGAAACCAGTAAACAAATCTCTAACTGCCTACAACCCTGTATGCATATGGACACTTAATTCACTTCTTCCTTAATCCCTTCAGTTAACCTCCTTTCCTATCACCTTGCCAGATTTCCCCCTTTAATAGGTCTTTAAATACTTTATTTCACTTTTCTCACAGCTATTCATTAGCCCTGGCTTTTTGGTACCTTTCTAGTATCACTTCTAGCTCTTATCTACAGCATTCCTCTATTATCTCCACTAGTTTTAAAATGTTTTCTTTAGGCTATCCCCAAGTCTTATTTCTGTTTTTTTGAAATGCAAATGTTAATGGGGAAGGAAGAGTGTTCTTTCTACTAGTGCTTTCTAAAGTACAAGCCTAATGCATAAGCACAACACGAAAACACAAAAAGCAATCACAGCATTTAAAATGTCATTTTAACGTCAAGGTGGCATATAATAAACCCGTTATCTTTAGGTGAACACAACCACCAAACTTAGATTGATTAAAAAGCTTTTGTTTATTCTGGGATGGCACTGGTACATTCCACCTAATGAAGGAGTTTCTTTCATTTCAAGGGATTTGGATCTGACTCATCAATGGAAACTTTGGGGTTGTCTCCTAACTTAGGATAAAGGCCTTCACCTATAAGCTCAAATGACAAACTTTCTGAAAGTTAAAAGAGTAGAATTCTGAGTGCATCACACTCTCTTCACCCTATCAGGGTCCCAAAGATGGTCACAGAAAAATACTCTCAGGCTTGTATTACACAGTGCATTTGTCACCTCTCTAGCGAGGAGAGGGGGAAAAGGACCTACTGGTCAGCCAACTTCTGCCTCATCTCTTTATCCAGAAGATACATTGGGATGGGAACTGTGGACAGGGTATATAAAGTCCATTACTTCAAAACTTGGTGAGGAGCAAGTGCTGGTGAACAGTAATAAGGGGGGCTCATGTACTGGCTAAATAAAAAAGTTCTATTGCCTAAAAAGGCAGCAGTCTGTAGTGAGCTGGAGATCGTTGCCGTCATAGAACACACATAAATGTCGCTGGTAGTTCACTGAGATAGTGTAGAACTGTCCGTTTACTTTTCCCCTTTTAATAGATGATTAATTGCTGCCCAGCTAGATTTTTTTCTTTATGGCCAGTATATTGCAACTCTAGACGTCCTTAGTGCAATTTCTCTCAGCAAGTCCCAACTGTAATAACTGTTTGCTAATTGTAAAATCCTTATCCAGAATGAGGTTTGGGCAAACAATTTGTACTACTGTAATTACATTGTAAAAGTGTTTTAGTCCCTTGATTGTTCTGAATTAATCTTATAAAAGCCTAGTAAGTTATGTTAGGTTCCTAATTTAAAGTGTAGTGGAAAATGAGTTGGAAATGAAGGTTAGGTCAGGGAAGGGCACTTTCCCAAACTAGTAAGATATTTAAAAAATAATAAATAAAATGGAGGAGGAGGAGGAGGAGGAAGAGGAGGAAGAGGAGGAGGAGGAGGAAGAAGAAGAAAAAGATGAAGGCCAAAATGAAAACTAATGTTTTTTAATAAAAGAAATGTGTCAGTAAGTATTCATAAAAAGTCAATGTAGAACATGTTAACATCTAGAGCAACATTGATGATGAACACTTGGGAAAGTTTTTAAGATGTTACTTAAAGTGGACTTACCTGGAAACATTTGCTTTCATTTCTGATAGGAACAAAAAAAGGTCAAATTACTGTAAAGCAAAAAAACATCAAACACTTGAAAAATTTCTCCCCTCTTTTCTCCGTTCACTCCCCACCTCAACCCATACCCAACCAATACTCATACCCAATTAGTATTCCCTTAGTTTGAAATTGATTTGTCAGAAAACGGGATAAGATAGAAACTGAGTGTGAGGTGGTGTTTTGTTTTGTTTTGTTTTGTTTTGTACACCCACCTCTCAAAACCATTGAGAGCAACAGTTAGACAAGTCCAATTCACAGCTGTTTTCTCTCTGGTGAATTTTAGTTACACAGTCTCTCTCTCTCAACTCATTTAGGGATCGTTACACCTCATATGTGAATATTTTACTGTATGATTTGACACTTCTCTTCCACACAACTAGACTAATCTGATCGAAGACAAATCTTCCCTAAGACAATTCTCAAACACCTAGTGACCTGATCATTTGAAAGCGCACTCAGGTGTGTATCTGTTGGGACAATTGCTTTGTGTTGCCAAAAGAACTTTGAAAGGCTGCTTGTACCAGTTCCTTTATCAAGGTGCTTCTGAGGTTTTAAAAGACCACAGCATTTTTACTGCACTGATGCCCCTAATACATGTGTCTTAAGAGTCTGGAAAAAAGTTTCCCATCTTCTCCTGAAGCTGTATTTCGAGCACAATGTTTGGGTAGGAAGTACAGATACTTTTTGGCTATTGGTAGTAAATTTTGTTCGCTTTTGACTTAACACTGTGGCCTAATTACAGAATTTGTATCACAGAGAATGGATAAATCTCTGAACAATGTTAAGATAAGCCTTTAAAAAAGGCGGGGGGACATCTTAAATCTAGGCTTTTGAAAATTAAAAAAAAAAAGAAAATGTCACTGTACTAGAAAATGCACTTTTCGAGTACTGCAAGTTCTTTCGAAGTAAATATATCCAATAGAATTAGGTAGAGCATTTAGAATGTTAAATGGCACAGACAAAACGCCAATGTTGATTCACCCAGCTCGCTCGGAAAATAGAGGAGGAAAAGAAAGAGAGGGAGAGAGAAGGGGAGACGGAGAAAGGGAGAAGGAAGAGAGACAGGAAGGAGAGAAGAGAAAAGAAAGATAATGTCTCAAATAGACCTTACAAATGAAACTCTTCATTATTATGTGTTGGATAGCTTGAGGGCATGAAATGTTGCAGGGGACATCTTTTCTTATGAGAATGCTGTAAATACAGTGTATCACGGCACTTTATATAAAGCAGGAGGAACAGACGCTTGCTCTATTTTTTTTTTCCACAAGCCCCAGATAAACCAACTTATCGGAAACTTTGGAAGCATCTTGCCTATTCAGATAGTATCTTGTACTTTGCCCATAA